TATAAATCTTGCTATTTTTCTACAATTTACTATAGTTGGTGGAAGAGAAGAAACAATGTTTCTATTACTACTCCTCATTTGCATTGTGTGCCCTGGCTGTGCCATATATTTAAATTATACTGGGGCATCACAGTGCCAATTCCCATTTACAGGTGATTGAAAGCCACTTGACAGACTACCACACTGTGGCCCACAGTATTTGGGGTCCCATTGGGTAGCCTATGCACTTAGGGCAAACCCAATAGGCAGGCTGGTGCTGCGGCCCTTTAGCAACACGATCAGACCCCTTTATTATCAGCACCCAGTGCTGGGAGGATTGAGGAGGTACCGAGAAGGGAGAGAACTGCAGGCAGTCTCAGACTCCCATCATCCTGAAAGCAGGGGATAAAATATATATAAATTCTCTTTTTTTAATTTCTTGTCATTAATTGTAAATACCAAAATAGTGGAATCTCCAGAAACCGCTTTACTTCATGTTAATTGGCCCGCCATGTGTTACTTTTTGCTACAAGACACTGGAAAGTCAAAAACAATATTTCTTGGTTATTAGTTAAAAATCAATTAGTGTTTCAATCAGGATGGAACAGTTACTATGTGGAGGTAATGAGAATACAACTAAAAACACGTATATTTGGGACACATCTTATGAGAAGAAAAATGACATTCTTATCACCTTTGGCACCAAGCACTGTTTGTTATCTATTATTTGGTATATTATTTTATTGGTATTAAGAACTGGGTACATATACATTTTTCTGACTGTTTGGTATATAAACTGAATATAAATGTATATTATATGCCTAGATTTATTGTTGAATGATGTATTTGTTTGACTCACTGTGTCTTGAATGTATGCTATGTACTCGAAAAAACTTTAAAGGAAATAATATATGAAAGAAAACATAAACAAAACCTTAAAAAAAAATATGTAAATTGCAACTTGGGTATCTGTATCTCTACATCTCTGTGTTTCAGTGTGTTTGTATCTGTGTGTGTGTGTGTGTGTGTCTGTGTGTGTGTGTGTGTCTGTGTGCCAGTGTATGTGTGTGTGTGCTAATGTGTGTGTATCTGTGTGTGAGTGTCAGTGCTTGTGTTTATTGGTATGTGAGTGTATATGTATGTGTGTCAGTACAGTTGTATGTGTGTGCATGTGTGTCAGAGTGTGTGTATCTATGTGTGTGTCAGTGTTGGTATATGAGTGTATGTGTGTGTCAATGTGTATGTGTCTGTGTGTGTCAGTATGTATGTGTATCTGTGTGTTGTGTGTAGCTGCATATGTGTACATGTGCAAATATCCCACCATTCACATTCAAACATCAACAATACATACAGACACTCCTCCAATTAAACCCCAACACTACATGCAAACACACCCCTGTAATAAAACACCAACACCACATACAAAAACACAGTTACAATTAAGCACCGATACTACATACAAACACACCCATGCACTCCAACATGCTATGCAAAGTAGTCTGAACACTGCACCCCTTCATTCACATACTCCATACAAAACATGCTTACATAGAAACACACAAACTATTCCCACAAATAAAACTATTACATTATGTGAGTCTTGAAATAGCTGTTTAGTGAATCAGCGAGTGCGCTCAATTTTGTATGTTGCATGAATTGGCCCCAGGAGCACCCTTTAATGTATGCATGTTCAGGTAAGTGCAGCCTCTTGATTTCATATATATATTTGGGAGTCCAGGACAAATTCCTCGTTTTGCACCCCTCCCTGTCATAGGTATCTCATTCCAGGGCCCTATTTAACCTTGACCTGCAGAGAGTTCCAGGAGGGAGCATTTCCCAAGTAAGTGGATTAATCTCATAAGAGCAGATATTAGGCTGCTAGAGTAGGACCTGCCAAGAATGGGGTACATGGATATTGTGGCAGGCTAATGCAATGTATGATCATTAGTACTACCACTGCAGCTAGATATAGTCCCTTTAATTGCTGCTTCACCCTGGGTTGCAACGTTTATTCCATAATATTAGCTCTGGGTGGGATTATGTGGTGTGTGAGTTTGGTGGGGATTCAGTCCAGCAAACAGCTTCCTGTCCTCTTGCTCCTGGCTCCTGTTTGTCCTGGGCCTGTAGGTTAATCTGCTTTAGGGATGGGTGTTGAGGCTATCCTGGCATCCCTCAGAGCTGCTGCTGTGCTGGATGGTGGCCGGCTCCTTCCTTTAATTAGGGTATGGCTGCCTGCGTGGTTCCCCCCGTGGCTAGGCTCCCTCAGGGGCATCCCCTGCATCCCCTGCTCCTGGGGGCCGCACTAGCACTGTCTGGCTCAATTAAGGCTCAGAAGTCACATTGAACCTAACATTGTCTTGTCACTTTCATTGGGGCTCCTCACCAGTTGGTTTGGGGACAAGGAGAAATACATAGAGCTGCAAATTGATAAAAAAAAAAAGACCATGGCAAGGGAAAATGTCTGACAGAGAAAATTCCTCACTATTAGGGGGAATGACCTGGGTTCGGTGCCCATATGGGATTTAGTGTCTGCAGTTACGTGGGACATGGCACGCATCCAAGTTTTATTCCCAGATGTACGCCTGGTTTGGTCCGAGGTTATCGCAATTTCTGGCAGCACGCTCATAATCAGAGTGCCATGGAGCGCTGCCCTCGGAAACTGAACAGGAGATTTGTTTTGAGTGCTCGGGGAATTCCAGTTTGCCATAGGGTCTTTGAGCGGGATGCTGCCAATCTATTTCAGGGGGGATGCTGTGCACTTGACGGAGGTCGGGCTTCCCTCTTTAATCTCGCCCTGCAGGAAGTGGTTTTGGTGGGTTCCCCCAGTGATTTTAGGCGTAAAGCAGAGTAGTTGTAGTCGGGGTATGTCCTTGCCAATTAAGTTTGAGGCATCACATGTCAATATGTGGAATGAGGTGGTCAAGTTTCAGGTCTCAACCTCCCCTGCTCTAAAGGGTTAACCTTAGGTTACCTGTTTGGACCATGCCCACCGTGCGAGGATAAGGTCGGCTGGGGGTAAGCATTCAAAGGAAAAGGAATTTATGCCAAGAGGTGAATGAAAGGGAAGTGGTGCATAGGCTCATGGTCTTGTATATAAGGGTTATACTGTATGACACTATGTGTTCATTTATTTTGATCTTGGTTTATCTCAAGTAAAGAAGAATATTAAAATAAATTATGGATGTGTTATAAAAAAAACCATATGTTATAATAAATCCTGTGGCCTGTTTCATCCATATATACTTTGTCTGTCATTATTTGGGTGGTAATTGGGATAAGTTCTATGTTAGTATGCTGCATCTGCGATTCCCCACTGCGTACATACATGGGCATTTTTACAATATCACACCAAACGGGGTTACATTTTCATTAACATGTTAAGGTTTTTAACTTGACCTTCGATTACAACAGATTGATTTAATCTGACAGCGTTTTGACATGTCTGGACTCGTTACCACTATGGCTGTGCGATTAATTAACTTGAGATCCTTTCGCTCATCCTGGCTGATTAACAGTCAGCAAAAAGTTTTATTTAGTAAAAATGTCGTGATCAATAGATGGCTCATTCTTGTGATATAAAAAATGAATTATATTGATAGTTTCTGTAAAAGAAAGAGGACTTTTGCTCTTTTGGAATCTTGTTCATAAATAGGACCGTGAGACTTCTCCACTCGAAATCTTCATAGGGGATTTATCCCACTGATAACGGGTACGCTGTGATCAATATTCCGCTCCTGCCTGTGAGTCCTGGGAGTGAGGATACAGAGAATTACTGACAGCTGAATGTTCTGGCTAAAGTAACACTGTCTATATCCTTCCTGTTGGTGCTGTTTTATTGCGCCTCTGTGACTGCAAGGATGCACCTGATGTCCATTTTTTTCACATTAACCTTGCAGCAGTATTGACCTATCAAGCTTGGCAACACTAGATTAACGATGAAACCACACTTAGCCCCGTTTCTAAGATTCCGAATTTGGCGGTATTACTATATCATCTAAAAGTCATAAAATTGATCGCTTACCAAAGCCCGATTGTAATATAAGCCTAAATATATTATTATTATTATTTTATTATTTATATAGCGCCAACAAATTCAGTAGCGCTGTACAATGGGTGGACAGACAGACACATAATTGAGATCAGACCACTGACGTACAGGAACAGAGGGGGTTGAGGGCCCTGCTCGATGAGCTTACATGCTAGAGGGAGGACATACGTTAGGACATATATTGCACTAAGTCCCAGGTTAATAATAGTTCAAACATACATTTCAGAGAGCTGCCATTAATGAGGGATTTTTAATTTGAATATTTTCTACTGTTCTGATTTCTGTCCCGGTTCCAGTTATCTTGAATGTGTTTATTATTAAACTTGCAGACGTATCAGATGTCAGCCATCAGTGTTTGATACACATTGTGACTGATAATTTCGCTGACTCTTGGCCGACATAGGACGCAGTAATCAAGGCGATCAAAGTCCAAATATAACAAATCTGTTTCTGCTGGTAATGCAGTTGAATTCAGAAACCATTAATGTATTAGAATCGTGCCTAAATTATAATTCCCTGGTTAATTAAACAATGTCTAGGCCGATGTAGCGTGATTAACAAAGAAAATAATTGATGCCTTTGTGAGGTTTTCGATACATCAGAGGTTAAAGATTACAGACTGTCAAGTGCATTGATGACACAAATCGATGACAGGTTTCTGATTAACCTATTATGTCCCTTATCAATGTTTCAATGTGCGATTTTTAAAGATACCTGTATTATCAATGTTAATGGATTGTGATCCCAAAAACCTGAGTGTTTAATGTGAGGTATATTATTATTGTTAATATTTATAAAGCGTCAACAAGATCCGTAGCGCTGTACAATGGGTTGACTAACAGACACGTATTTGTAACCAGATGAGTTGGACACACAGGAACAGAGGGACTCAGGGCCCTGCTCAATGAGCTTACATGTTAGAGGGAGTGGGGTATAGTGACTAGTGATGTCGCGTACCGTTCGCGAACTTCCCGGCCAGCTGACACATCCCGGCCAATCTCCAGCAGACCATCCCTCCCACCTCCTGGACAGCATCCATGTTGAAGTTGCCTTCAACATGGATGCTGTCCAGGAGGTGGGAGGGTCTGGGAGGGAGGGTCTGCTGGAGATTGGCCGGGATGTGTCAGCTGACCGGAGCTCGCCGCGAACGGGAAGTTCGCGAACGGTTCGCGACATCACTAATAGTGACAAAGTAACAGAGGGATTGAGGGCCCTGCTCAGTGAGTTTACATGTTAGAGGGAGTGGGGGGCTCCTGGACAGCATCCATGTTGAAGTTGCCTTCAACATGGATGCTGTCCAGGAGGTGGGAGGGTCTGGGAGGGAGGGTCTGCTGGAGATTGGCCGGGATGTGTCAGCTGACCGGAGCTCGCCGCGAACGGGAAGTTCGCGAACGGTTCGCGACATCACTAATAGTGACAAAGTAACAGAGGGATTGAGGGCCCTGCTCAGTGAGTTTACATGTTAGAGGGAGTGGGGTATAGTGACACAGTAACAGAGGGATTGAGGGCCCTGCTCAGTGAGTTTACATGTTAGAGGGAGTGGGGGTATAGTGACAGTAACAGAGGGATTGAGGGTCCTGCTCAGTGAGTTTACATGTCAGAGGGAGTGGGGTATAGTGACACAGTAACAGAGGGATTGAGGGCACTGCTCAGTGAGTTTACATGTTAGAGGGAGAGGGGTATAGTGACACAGTAACAGAGGGATTGAGGGCCCTGCTCAGTGAGTTTACATGTTAGAGGGAGAGGGGTATAGTGACACAGTAACAGAGGGATTGGGGGCCCTGCTCAGTGAGTTTACATGTTAGAGGGAGTGGGGTATAGTGACACAGTAACAGAGGGATTGAGGGCCCTGCTCAGTGAGCTTACATGTTAGAGGAGTGGGGTATAGTGACACAGTAACAGAGGGATTGAGGGCCTTCTCAGTGAGTTTACATGTTAGAGGGAGTGGGGTATAGTGACAGTAACAGAGGGATTGAGGGCCTGCTCAGTGAGTTTACATGTTAGAGGGAGTGGGGTAGTGACACAGTAACAGAGGGGTTGAGGGCCCTGCTCAGTGAGCTTACATGGTAGAGGGAGTGGGGTATAGTGACACAGTAACAGAGGGATTGAGGCCCTGCTCAGTGAGTTTACATGCTAGAAGGAGTGGGGTATAGTGACACAGTAACAGAGGGATTGAGGGCCCTGCTCAGTGAGTTTACATGTTAGAGGGAGTGGGGTATAGTGACACAGTAACAGGGGGATTGAGGGCCTGCTCAGTGAGCTTACATGTTAGAGGGAGTGGGGTATAGTGACACAGTAACAGAGGGGTCGAGGGCCTGCTCAGTGAGCTTACATGTTAGAGGGAGTGGGGTATAGTGACACAGTAACAGAGGGATTGAGGGCTTGCTCAGTGAGTTACATGTTAGAGGGAGTGGGGTATAGTGACACACTAACAGAGGGATTGAGGGCCCTGCTCAGTGAGTTTACATGCTAGAGGGAGTGGGGTATAGTGACACAGTAACAGAGGGATTGAGGGCCTGCTCAGTGAGTTTACATGTTAGAGGGAGGGGGTATAGTGACAGTAATAGAGGGGTTGAGGGCCTGCTCAGTGAGTTTACATGTTAGAGGGAGTGGGGTATAGTGACACAGTAACAGAGGGATTGAGGGCCTGCTCAGTGAGTTTAAATGCTAGAGGGAGTGCGGTATAGTGACAGTAACAGAGGGATTGAGGGCTCTGCTCAGCGAAAGCCATGGTGCTAGGAGGGAGTGGGGGTATAGCACACAGTAACAGAGGGATTGGGGCCTGCCCAGTGAGTTTACATGTTAGGAGGGAGGGGGCATAGTGACAGCAATGAGGGATTGAGGCCTGCTCAGTGAGCTCTACATGTTAGAGGGAGTGGGGGCAGTGACACAGTAACAGAGGGGTTGAGGGCCCTGCTCAATGAGCTTACATGCTAGAGGGAGTGGGGTATATTGACACAGTAACAGAGGGATTGAGGGCCTGCTCAGTGAGGTTACATGTTAGAGGGAGTGGGGTATAGTGACACAGTAACAGAGGGATTGAGGGCCTGCTCAGTGAGTTTACATGCTAGAGGTAGTGGGGTATAGTGACACAGTAACAGAGGGATTGAGGGTCCTGCTCAGTGAGTTTACTTGTTAGAGGGAGGGGGGTATAGTGACAGTAACAGAGGGATTGAAGGCCTGCTCAGTGAGTTTACATGTTAGAGGGAGTGGGGTATAGTGACACAGTAACAGAGGGATTGAGAGCCTGCTCAGTGAGTTTACTTGTTAGAGGGAGTGGGGTATAGTGACAGTAACAGAGGGATTGAGGGCCCTGCTCAGTGAGTTTACATGTTAGAGGGAGTGGGGTATAGTGACACAGTAACAGAGGGATTGAGGGCCTGCTCAGTGAGTTTACATGTTAGAGGGAGTGGGGTATAGTGACACAGTAACAGAGGGATTGAGGGGCCTGCTCAGTGAGCTTACATGTTAGAGGGAGTGGGGTATAGTGACACAGTAACAGAGGGATTGAGGCCCTGCTCAGTGAGCTTACATTTTAGCGGGAGTGGGGTATAGTGACACAGTAACAGAGGGATTGAGGGCCTGCTCAGTGAGTTTACATGTTAGAGGGAGTGGGATATAGTGACAGTAACAGAGGGATTGAGGGCCTGCTCAGTGAGTTTACATGTTAGAGGGAGTGGGGTATAGTGACACAGTAACAGAGGGATTGAGGGTCCTGCTCAGTGAGTTTACTTGTTAGAGGGAGTGGGGTATAGTGACACAGTAACAGAGGGATTGAGGGCCTGCTCAGTGAGTTTACATGTTAGAGGGAGTGGGGTATAGTGACACAGTAACAGAGGGATTGAGGGCCCTGCTCAGTGAGTTTACATGTTAGAGGGAGTGGGGTATAGTGACACAGTAACAGAGGGATTGAGGGCCTGCTCAGTGAGTTTACATGTTAGAGGGAGGGGGGGTATAGTGACACAGTAACAGAGGGATTGAGGGCCTGCTCAGTGAGTTTACATGTTAGAGGGAGTGGGGTATAGTGACACAGTAACAGAGGGATTGGGGGCCTGCTCAGTGCGTTTACATGTTAGAGGGAGTGGGGTATAGTGACACAGTAACAGAGGGATTGAGGGCCTGCTCAGTGAGTTTACATGTTAGAGGGAGTGGGGTATAGTGACACAGTAACAGAGGGATTGAGGTCCTGCTCAGTGAGTTTACATGTTAGAGGGAGTGGGGTATAGTGACACAGTAACAGAGGGATTGAGGGCCTGCTCAGTGAGCTTACATGTTAGAGGGAGTGGGGTATAGTGACACAGTAACAGAGGGATTGACGGCCTGCTCAGTGAGCTTACATGTTAGAGGGAGAGGGGTATAGTGACACAGTAACAGAGGGATTGAGGGCCCTGCTCAGTGAGTTTACATGTTAGAGGGAGTGGGGTATAGTGACACAGTAACAGAAGGATTGAGGGCCCTGCTCAGTGAGTTTACATGTTAGAGGCAGTGGGGTATAGTGACAGTAACAGAGGGATTGAGGGCCTGCTCAGTGAGTTTACATGTTAGAGGGAGTGGGGTATAGTGACACAAAAGGTAAGGGTAGGGTAGAAAAGTAGGGTGCTAGGATAGTGTTTATTGAGGGCTTAGTGGTTTGTTTTGATGACAGTTTCAGGAGGGGAATCAGGGTGCAGGGAGGGAAAGTTGTTGAAAGTTTAATTGATACGCTTACCTGAAGAAGTGAGGTTTTAATATTTTTTTTGGAAGGAGTTGAGATAGGGTGAAAAGTCTAACAGAAAGGGGAAGGGCGTTCCATAGGAACGTTGCAGCCCTCGAGAAGTCTTTAAGGTCAGCTTTAGAGGTAGTAGTAACAGAGGATAGACGTAGGTCTCCGGCAGAGCGTACGGGACATATTTGTGTATTAGTGAGGATAAGTAGGTCAGAGCAGCATTATGTAGGCACTTGTTAGCAATTACCAGGATCTTATATTGAACCCTATATCTTACGGGAAACCAATGCAGGGACTGACAGAAGGGGGAGGCGTGGGAGGTGCAGAAGATGAGCCTCGCCGCATCTTTCATTATAGACTGTAACAGGAACAATCTGGGAGCATGTAAGACCACTGAGAAGCAGTTTACAGTAGTCAAGGCGAGAGAAGACAGCGGCATGGACCAGCACATTAGCCGCATCTGGCGTTAACTAGGGGTGGATCGGATGCGCAACTGGTTAGACATGAGGGGTGAAGAAGAGGTCGGAGTCAAAGAGAACACCTACGCAGTGAACCTCTGAGGTAGAGTGGATGGTAGCATGGGAGTCCGGAGAAGAGGGCAAGGGGGGCTAGTGAGTAGTCTAGTAATATGATTAAATGTTGGCTGCATGCTGTCTGATTATAATAGAGAAGTATGGGGAGAATATAGAGAAAGGGGAAGGTGAGGGGCATATTATAAAAGGGAAAGCAGTTTTTTTGGTGTGGGGTCAGAAGTTGGTGGTAAAATATATACAGAAGGACAGAAAGTGGGGGATAGAATGATAGACGCTAGGGGAGTATGGAAGGAGGGACACCACTGGAGGAAGGGACAATATGGGTAGAGGCTCACTATAGCAGAGGAATGGGGGGGGTAGGTAAATGATCATGTGATATGAGAATGCTATTGCCGTTCATACAGCAAATATAACATTAAGGTTTTTATTATTCAGTGCCCCTCCCAAGATTGGGTTCTGGATCCACCTCTGGTGCAATGTCTGGGTGACTGGCAGGAGGGGAGCACACAGCACAGCGTTTCCCTTCCTGCCAGTCAATCCATGTAGCGTGGCCGAGCTGGGTAGAAGAAACAGAATATCCTTTACCTGCGGTCTGCTCTGCCACACCACTTGGAGGAGGGAAGGAGGGTAAGACACATAGAGGGTCTGGAGATCGCTGGAAGGTGAATGAGACACGTGGAGAGGCAGGTTGGCAGAAACATAGAGGGATGGGGAAGAAGGCAATGACACAGAGAGGGGCTGGGGAGGGGACAGGGATACACAGAGGAGATGGGGACAGGGGGCTGGGCAAGGAGACAATGACATGCACAGGAGCTGGAGAAGGGGACAATGACACACAGAGGAGCTGGAGAAGGGGATCAAGAGACATATGGGGCTGTAGGGAAGTAAG